ATTCCATTTCTTGTAATAAGCTGTAATGGCAAAAATCTGAAAAGAAAAAATATATATGTATGTATAATTATAGCTGACTTGCTTTGAAACTTAAGATTGTAAATCTACTGCACTTCAATAAAAAAAGTCCCTTTGGTTATGGTTTGGGAAATTGACTATAGGAGAGCAAGAGAGGAAACAGAAATCTATTAGGATATTATTGCAGTAGTCTAGGGATAACTTCCTAAATTGATCTACATACTCAACACAATCCCTATCCAAGTCCAAGCTGCTTTGTTTTTTGCAGAAATTGTAAGCTAATCCTAAAATTCACATGGAAACGCAAGGGACCCAGAATAACCAAAACAGTCTTGAAAAAGAACAAAGTTGGAGGTCTGTACTTAATGATTTCAAAACTTAGGACAAAGTTGCAGGAATCAAGACAGTCTGGTACTGGCATAAGAATAGACATACAGATCAATGGAACAGAATTGAGAGTCTAAAAATAAACTCTTAAACTGTAGTCAGTTAATCTTTGACAAGTGTGCCAAGACCAATTAATGGGAAAAGAATAGTCTTTCACCAAATGGTGCTGTGCAACTGGAAATCCACACACAAAAGTATAAAGTTGGACCCTTTGCTCACACCACACATGAAAATTAATTGAAAATAGACCATTGATCTAAATGTATGAGCTAAAAGTATAGAACTCTTAGAAGAAAACAGTAAATCCTTGTGACCTTTGATTAGGCAGTGATTTCTTAGATATAATACCAAAAGCGCAAATGATGAAAAAATAAATGCATTTGACCTCTCAAAATTAAAAACTTTTGTGTCTCAAAGGATATATCAGAAAAGTAAAGACAACCCACAGAACAGGAGAAAATAATTGCAAATCACCTATCTGATAAGGGTCTTGTATCCATAATGTATAATGAACTCTTATAACTCAACAATAAAAAGACAACCCACTTAAAAAATGGACAAAGAATATGAATAGACATTTCTCCAAAGAAGTATGCAAATGGCCAATAAGGACGTGAAAAGATGCTCAACATTATTAGTCATTAGGAAAATGGAGATCAAAACTATGATGAGATACCTCTTCTCACCCACTAGTATAGCAAAAAAAAAAAAACATGGATAATATTGAGTGTTGGCGAGGATGTGAAGAAATGTGGAACCCTCATATTGCTGTTGGGAATGTAAAATTGTGTTGCCACTGTGGGAAATGGTTTGGTGGTTGCTCAAAAAGTTAGACATAGTTACTACATGACCCAGCAATTTCACTCCAAGAGAACTGAAAACATGTGAACGAAAAAACAAAAACAAAAAAAGAAAAAAAAAGAAAGAAAACATACGTCCATGCAAAAGTGTGTACACAAATGTTCATAACAGCATATTTGTAATAGCCCCCAAATGCAAACAGCCCAAGTTTTTATCAGTTGATAAATGGGTAACTAAACATGGTATATCCATATAATGGAATATTATTTTGCAATAAAAAGGAATGAAGTAATGATACATGCTACAAAATGGATGAACTTTGAAAATGTTATGCTGAGTTAAAGAAAGCAGAGACAGAAAGTCACATAAAGTGTATGAGTCTTTTTATATAAAATGTCCAGCATAAGCAAATCCATAGAGACAGAAATTTAGTGGTTATCCAGGAGTGGGAGCAGGGCAGAATGGGAAGTGACTGCTCAGGGGAATGGAGGGAGTTTCTTTCGGGGGTGATGAAAACATTTTGGTATTAGATAGTGGTGATATCAGGTCCCACAACTCTTTGAATATAGTAAAATCCACTCAATTATACACTTTAGAAGGGTGAGTTTTATGGTATGTAAATTATATCTTAATAAAGCTGTTATAAATGTTCCTGGAATGTTGGTTTTAAAATGGATGTTATTGTCCTTAAAGTTTCTCAAAGAGTAATAAGTCCAAATTATTTAGAGAAGAGACCTTGTGGTTTAAGCTAAGAAGAGAAGCACACAGGATATGATGAAGTTTGGAGAAATTCAAAGCCGTAGGCATTCAGTGATATGTTTTTTCCTTCTCCGTTGGCTAGCCCATGGATGACAGTCTCATTGCATTCCGAACTCGCTCTAAGATGCCTCTGAAAGATGTTCCCCTGGGGCAACTAGAGGCAGAGCTCCGAGCTCCAGATATCACCCCCGACATGTATGACCCCAACACAGCAGATGATGAGGACTGGAAGATGTGGCTGGGGGGACTCATGAATGATGATGTGGGGAATGAAGGTAAGTGGCTTTGTTTGCATTTATTATCTACTCTGTCCATTATCTTTGTGGTAAAATTTTCATTAGTTAAAAGCTTAAAGAAGGGGTGTTTTGGGTTAGTTGATTTAATTTTGCATTTAACAGTTCACTCTAAATGAGGAAATGTTCTTCTCCCCCCTCCACCCACCACTCCCTTTTTTCTGTTTTACAGTCTTTTGGGGAATCATTTGAATGCTAAGTTTCCTCCCATGAACCATAAATGCACACATAATTTTATATATGATTTCATGAGAGTGTATGGACTCACTCACAGGCTATCATGTTAGTTAAGGGTCTTCATGATACAAGTGAAAGAATCCTGACTCTCAGTTGCTGAAGGTCAGTCAAAAGAAACCAGGCTTTGGGAAGAGCAGAAAAACCTGCAGTGGAAGTGAGGCACTGTTCAGGCCCACCTCCCTCTCTGTTACCTCTGTTTCTTTTTGTCAGTCAACTCCATTCTCAAACCTATTTTTTTTCTACAAGGCTGGAACTATGGTCATAAGCACATCATTTACTTTTTGCTTTGTCCCCACATCAGAAGGACTCTCTCCTACAGGATCCAGTTGGAAAAATCTAGAGGAATAACTCCAGTTGGCTTGGTTTGATCACATGCCCACCCTGTTGGTATTGCATGGGATTGCTAGGGAGGCTGTTTCAGCATGGAGTCCTGTGACTGGCAGCACCTCATAGAACAGTGTGTTTGGAGTAGGCAGTTACCCAGAAGTGACAGTATTTCCAGAGGTAGGGAAGGAACGTTGATCAGACAAAAACAATGTTGACTACAGTCATACACAGTGCAACCCTTATTTGTTTTAGAATATAAGTGAAAGTTCTTACTTTGAAACAGTGAAATAAACATTGCTGAAGTTGTCTTGGTGATTTTTTTTAAAACGCGTATTATAGAGGAAATCAGACACCATTTATCATTTTGTGCAATGTTTCTTTAGATTTAGAGGAAACAAGAGATTGACTTTGTTTGTAGTAATTCCAGATGATGTCATATTCTTTTGATGGAATCAAAGCAACTGTGTTATTGTTGTTTCCTTTTGACTCTCTTCAGTGGGGAGTGACCAGGCTATTCTTACTAGTTGTGCTGTGGAAGACTCATACTTAAAAAAAAAGTGTAAAACTGAACCAAGGTCAAACTCTTAACTTGCATTTTTATGTGGAACAGAGTCACCCACTATCTCACTCTAATCTGTAGCCATAGTCGTTCCTATTTCTGAATCGGATCCTCTCCTATCAATGTTAATTACAAACAACTTACAGAGCATATCTTTATTCCTTTTCCTGTCTTCTAAGAACAACTACCAAAAGATTTTTGTGTTGAAAAGAATAATGCTTTAAGATAAATAAGAGAACATATAGTTTGGATGGAAATAGACTGAGTGAAATGTTTGGATAGATATGGCCAAGAATAAATCAAGATCAGTGAATGAAAGAAGTCCTTACATTTACCTTATAAAGCTTTTGATAATTATATTGCATATCATTTGGCAAATGTTTATCGAGTACTTTCCTTTTACAAGGCATTGTGCTAGGTTCTGTGAGAGATGAAGGAACAGAATCATTTTGTTAGACAGTAAACATGTATGAATGGTGCCTGGTCCATTGTTAGATGCATGATATGTTTCAGGTGAATGAAGCTGAATAAACTCAGATACACCGTAAAAGTGGCATAAATGCTGTTCTAAGGTTTTAGAAGAGGGAGAGAGAATTCTTGTTTAGTATGATCAGAGATAGCCATATGGAAAAGTGGTAGTTGAGATGGACCTTTGAAAAATACTTGACAAAGTGATAGGAGAGGAGGCAGATGGGTGGATGTGACAGTAAGATAGTGTGTACAATGGGTTCTGTAGAGTATATCCTCAGAGTTTTCTCTTTTTTTGTATTATGAGTAATACATGCTTGATATAAAGAAACAAAATATTGTATAAAGAAAACTATTAAAGCCCCTCCCCATGATGACAGTTTCATACCCAAAAGGGATCACTGATAATAGTTTGATATGCATCTCTAAGAGTTTTCAAATATGACGTTACCTTTTAGTTGTCCACATTAATGTGGCAATAGCAAGAATTTTAGTCCTAAATTTAAATTCCCTAGACATTTAGAGAAGGCAGGTGACAAGAAGCAAATTGGTTTCAATCTTAGCATTTTTGTCCTTTTCCACCCACTTCTCTAGCAGAAGTGCTAATAAGTCACAAAATGCACAAACTTATATGAAAGAGAAAAAGATGAAATTTGCACCTGAGTCATCAACTCAGGAACTGGAGTCAATATTAACGAGAAAGTCAATTCCTTAATGATTGACAACTGATATATTATTCCATTAGTCTTTCTGATAGGAGTCTAAGCTTCTGGCTTTTCCATTACTCACCCCTTTGAGAATTTGATGAAAGCTATGCAGCCAATCTCCAGAAAAATGGACATATCTACACACATGAAGTTTTTTTTATGTCATTTTTTCCAGGATTTATAATTTTCTTAAAGTTAATTTATTGACACTTCCTTTTTCTGTCAGCCTGCCCTGAGGTCCCTGACACTAAGACTTAAAATCTCTGCAGAAGGGAATGAATAGGGACAAAGATAATTCTGTCCATTTTGTAGAAATCTCAGAGAAATTCATTGTGTTGCTTAGTGTTATAGAATCAGTTTATTATACTGCTAGTATTTGAAAGCCAACATAATAGTCTAGGAGCATGTCTCAATCAAAGAAGTCTCTGGGGAAAAAAATAGTCTCTGGGAGATTAAAGCAATTTTTAAATGAGTATGACTCTCCATAGGCAAGCTTTGCATTTTGTCCTTAGACCTAAGCTAAGACAAAATATTGACGGTAACTAAGTCAGGTTCCCATTGCTTTATTAGTGCAGCTTTATTTGGTACCCTGATTGTTATCACCTTGGTTGAAAGAGCTGAGAAGCTAGCTATTGGGGAGGAAAGGCCAGAGTTGGAAGTCAGGATTTTGAGTCTAAGGCAGTGTTTCTCATAATACAGTCCCTAGAATTTGAACCAGAATCAGGGAGTATAAGGATGTATGTACTGGGTGGTGTTAATTAAGGATACAGATTCCAGGGCCTCACTCCATACCTACTGAATCAGAATCTCTAATGGTTATTGTCTGGGAATCTCACTCTTATGTATCCTAAAGGCTGGAAACTACTAGTCTGGGAGAAAGAAGAGCGTATAAGGGTCCATTGAGGAAATAGAACAATGGTTGGTAGGGAGGGTGAAAATCCCCTTTCTTTAAAACTATTTTTTTGTTTCTAACTTATTAGGACAGATTAAAAAAAGAAAACACAAAGCCAGTGAATAGGGTAGGTTTGGATCTCCAGATCTACTAGCTGAATTTAGTGAGTGCTGGTAAATAGGAAATGATGCTAGATAGAGATCCCAGTACCAAACTTCAGCCATATGCTGGTTTATTTTTGTAGCATTATGTGGCTAACTATTTTCACATGTTCCTACATATTATTAAATGTGAGAATCTCATTTGCAAAAATAATTAAAAGACCACACTGGAGGGTACACCAAATTGAGATCAGCTGGGTAGATGCTGACATTGTTAATCCGTCAGAAAAATAATTAGACCCAGAGGGCAGGTTCCACAACCAAGATGCTAAAAGCTAAGCAGAACTCAGAAGAAACCTTTCCAAAAGATTTTTCAACATGTTTGCCAAAGGGATTCCCTGAGAATATTGGCTGACCCATTTTTATGGTGTGGGCAGAAGCTGTCTATTGTAGTTTTTGCACCTATACCTATACATATGAGGATCTAAACCTGTATACACTATCCATGTATTATAGGCTTTTCCCAGAACTTTTATTATTCAGCAATATTTCTAAAGAACCTGCTATAAAGAGACATATATGGAAAGTACTAGAGAGATTAGGAAGATAGGATTCCATGCCTGAGGATTTAAAACATTTTTATTGGGGAGATAAACCCACAGATGGATAAAAAAGACTTCACATTTAAGTAGCTCTGTATAAACAGTGCAAATTCACATATTATAAAGAGAAAAGTTGACTAAAGAATATCAGTATAGTTTGGGGTTTATTGGTACAAATTTTCCAGTGATTATGAATAAAAAATATGTATTTTTATTTTTAATGAATGATACGCATTTATTATGAAAAATAAACATTATGGAAAGGCAGAAAGTGAAAATTAAGAGTTCTATTCTTTAGTCTTTGTTAATTCTTTCTAGATATTTTCTGGTGTTTTCAATCAATTACATATTTATCTCAAATAACAATTTTTTTTAATGAAAGGAATCATTATATATATTGTCCTGCATCTGCAACTTGCTTCTTTCGTTTAACAATATAATTTAGACGTTTTCCTGTTGTGATACATAGAGCTCTCCCTCTCTTGTTTAATGGCTGCATAGCGGTAAGGAATTTAGTTATTCTCTTTTGGTAGACTTTTTTTGGTTTAATTCAGTTCCTCAGTTACACTAACCACATTTCAATTTCTCAGTTGTCTTTTGTGGGTAGTGGCTACCATTGTTGTAGAGCAGGCATATGTAGAACATTTCCATCATTGCAAGAAATTCTCTTAGACAGCACTGATCTAAAGTTGCCCCAGGAAAAATATCACCTTACAATAACGATTCTATAATTTAATGACTCCACAATTTTTATTTAGGAATTGAAAAGACATCATAGTATCAACGTTAGAGCAAATTATGAAGGAGAATACCCATATTTCAATACATTGACATAACAAATGTTTTTTTAACATTTTTTGTTATTTCTGAGCCTTATTATTCATACTTATGAGTATTGTGTCTGTATTATATTGTGTTGCACTTTGTCGTGCATGTACATTCTATATGTATATACTGTTTTATACTAAGGAATCATAATTATGGTCATAATATAATGTGTATATATTATATGTATATTAGAGTCATTTCTTTTTTCACTATCAATGCCTTTGTATAAATAGTTTTACCGAAATACTATTTTCATGAGATGCACTGCTTAACTGGGATTACTGAGATAAATTATATGTTCAGTTTTCTGGCTTTTGCTGCATTTTGAGAGATCTAAGTCTTTTTGGAAAGAAGGAAGGAACTTGGCATATTGGAGAGAACAGGTGAGATGAGTCAGCTGTGGGAAATGATCTGTGCAAAGACACTGAGGGGGAAAAACAGCAAGTTATTTAAAAACTTAATAAATGTTCGTTATTGCACTTGATCTTAGCCAAAAGGCTGAGAAGCGATTAAATGTTCATTATTGGAATAGATTCTTATGGTGCTGAAAATCTTAAATTTTCATATACAGTACAGAGTTGAGAATAAGTCTCTTTTTTCCTAGATGAGGCAGATGATGACGACGATCCAGAATATAATTTCCTGGATGACCTTGACGAACCAGACACTGAGGATTTCCGCACTGACCGGGCAGTGAGAATCACCAGTGAGTCCGTGTTTACTATAAGTCCTGCTCTTGACTCCTCCACATCTACCTTTGTAAACTTTGCAGATTTTTGAGGGTAGAGTTTGCAGCGCATTGAAGCGTCTCCTACCCATTTATTTCTCTAATTCTTTAAATTTACATTTATGTTCAAGAAGCCTGTCAGTCACTCATTTATACATTCCACAGTCATGCATTGAGAATTTGGCAGCAATTGTAGTTAGGATGCCAAAATATATAGGACGTGGTCTTTGCCAATAAGACATCAGCCTTGTAGGCTGATACAAAAAGAAAAAGTTACACTGTAAACTGATGGGTGCTCTAATAGGTTGTCTATAAGGCACACTAAGAGGCCTAAAAGAGGGTATGATATCCTAGTGTGTGGTATGAAGTAGGGTGGGAGGGGTTATGGAAGGAGTCACAAAATGAGATGTTTTATCTTAGTTTTGAAGGAGCCATAAGAAATTTTTGGTGAATGGAGGCAGAGAGGGATATTGCGGATAGAAGGGGATCTGCAGACCACAGAACTGTGAAATGACAGTAACTGTGTTTGGAAAATAGTAAGTGGTTTGGTTTAGTTGTGTGAGTGAGGGGTGGTAGGAAGAGATGAGCAGTGTTCAGTTCATGGAGAAACCCTGGATTTGAGTTCTGATCTGTCAAAAATGGAGATATAGAAAACAGTTAAATAAGTTGACTTGGTTTGAGTCATTTGTTTAAAATTATTTCATTGGCCAGCTTGCCAATGATGGAAAACATATTTCAGGAACTATTGATTTTTATTGAGTGTGCGCCTGACCCTGTAATGGGATGGTATACACAGCCTGGTGAAGGTAAGATGTTGGCTCTTTATCAGGTTATGAAGAGAGCTTTAGAAGCAACCAAAAGTGTTTATTATGTACCTAAATAACGCACGTCTTTGTGCAAAGAGAATTATGTAAACATAATCCTTTAGGACTTTTGTTCTATTTTATTGTTTTATTTCATCTTTCATCTTGTTTTTAGGATTAGAATGCCATTTCCTTTATGAAAATCTTCCATTTATTTTGATATGTTATGACAATTAAGTTTAGAGGAAGCATTCAAAGGAAAGCACCAGGAATCAAAGAGAAAGTGTAGAATGAAAAGGCTTAAGGATTTAGGCTTTGAGAAAATGGTGAAGAAAGGTCTAGGAAAATATGAGAAAAATCAAAAGTCTTGTGTCAGAAACCAGGGGAAGAGCGACTTGGCCACAATGAAATGTACTTGTAATGAAATGTTTTCTGCTTGAAGCAGAAAAGTAGACCTCATTTCAGTTCAGGTCTCAGCCTGGAATACAGTTGCCTTCCCCTTTTGTTTGTACTTTCTTTCGTTTACAGATACAGTTGACCTTGAACAACTTGGGGGTTAGGGGTGCCAAACTCTTGCACAGTTGAAAATCCAACTGAAAGTTTTGACTCCTCAAAAACTTTACTAATAGCCTTCTGTTGACTGGAATGCTTACTGATAAAATAGTTAATACATATTTTGTATGTAAATTGTACTATATACTGTATTCTTAGAATAAAGTAAGCTAGAGAAAAGAAAATGTAATTAAGAAAATCCTAAGTGGTTGAGGGGAGGAGAAGAAAATCCTGGGAGAGAATATATTTACAGTTTTGTACTGTATTTATTGATACCGTAAGTTTATGTCATCTGTTTACAAGATGAATCATCTGTCAGTATCTACATCAGTATTATCTTAAATGATACAAAACACTGTAGATATACATATTAGTAACATTAGATATCAAAAATGGAAGGATAATGTGAAAAAGAAATCTTTATTTACAGGTGTAATAATTCATTCTTCATATAATGAAGAAGCAGCAGTATGATTGCTTGATGGTATCCTAGTGTAATCGGTACTATTGCTTCACAGTAGCCTAGCCTATATACTAATGAATGGTTATAAAAGTTTTATGGCATACAATATTACAGGTATATTCATATATAGGATTAGAATCATTGTTACATTTTTTTAAAAAATGTGATGATAGCCTGATGCATGTTTTCTCTAATTAGTGAGGAATCCTGTGTAGTAATGTAATTCTTTGAAAGCAAAGCTATAAATCAGTAAGAAAACTAGCACATTATTAATTTTATATTAAATATCATTCATCTTATGCCTAAGTAAGGACAGGCTGTCCACTTCAGTACAAGTCTGGCATGTGATGTTCTACATGATGAATAATTAGGCAGTGGCAATGGGGATGACACAAAAACAATTCATACAGTTCTTGCCGTACAAGTTTTAGGTCTTCCCAGAGATACACATATACAACGGATATGTTTATTACCTGTAGACATAATGATTATTTACTATTCGTTAAGTGGAAGTGGATCATCATAAGGGCCTCCCTTGTCCTTGTCTTCACATTGAGTAGGCTGAGGAGGAAGAGGAAGAGAAGGGCTTGATCTTGTCTCAGGGGTGGCAGAGGCAGAAGAGGTGGAGGAGGTGGAAGGGGAGGCAGGAGAGGCAGGCACTTTCCGTGTAACTTTACAGAAATACATGGCAATTTCTGTCTGCCTTTTATGCTTTTTCATTTCTCTAAAAACGTTTCTATATACTACCAATCCTTCTTCCACTGTTTGCTTTAGTTTCAGAGTCTATATCATAGAAGGGTTCATGTAAAAGAAGTCGAAAACCATCTTGAATACTTGGAACCTTTCTGCCAGATTGTCTAATGTCAGTTTGTTTTCTGGCATTGCTGCTTCTACTTCTTCCTCATCGTCTGGCACTGGTTTGGAAGCACTTATCTCCATCACGTCATCTTCTGTTAATTTCTCTGGTGTGGTGTCTTTTCACTCTTGAATTTCTCCAAGACCCGTATCTTGAAACCTTTCAGCCCCTCATTATTTTTTGGCCCTATCCACCATCTCATGATGTCCTTGATTGGCTCTGTTGTAAATCCCATGAAGTCATGCACAATGTCTGGACACAGTTTTCTCCAGGAGAAATTTATTGCTTCATGTTTGATGACTCTCATGGACTTTTCTGTAAAAATGATGGTGTCTTCAATGGTGTAATCCTTCCAGACTTACATGACATTCTTTCTATTCGGATCTCTTCTGTAGTGTTGATAACCCTTCCCATAGGTTACTGTGTATAATGAGCCTTAAAGGTTCCTTATGACCCTTTGATCTAGAGGCTGAATTAGAGATGTGTTTGGAGGCAAGTAGATCACTTAGATGTCTTTGATGTTGAACACATGGGGTTCTGGGTGGCCAGGGGCATTGTCCAATATCAAAAGAACTTTAAAAGGCAGTCCCCTTACTGGCCAGGTACTCTCTGATTTCAGGGACAAATTATGGATGGAACCAATCCAGAAAAAGTGTTCTTGTTATCCAGGCCTTCTTTTGTACAACCAAACACTGGCAGCTGGTGTTTATCTTTTCCCTTCAAGCAGCAGCTTTATTGACAAGGGCAGTCCTGGTCATAAACTCAACTGCATTTGCACACAGAGGTGGAGTTAGCCTGTCCCTTCCTGCCTTAAATCCTGGTGCTCAAGTCTCTTCCTTACTAATAAATATCCTTTGGCTTTTTTTTGTTTGTTTGTTTCCCTCCAGAATAGAACACTTTCATCTGCATTAAAAACCTGTTAGGCAGATAACCTTTCTCCTCAATGATTTTCTTAATGGCTTCTGTTGCCTTTGAATCAGCAGAGGCTGCTTCTCCTGTTATCTTGACGGTTTTGCAGCCAAACCTCTTTCTAAAATTATCAAACAATCCTTTGCTGGCATGAAATTCTCCAGCCTTAGATCCTTCACCTTTGTTTTGCTTTAAGTTGTCATATAATGACTTTGCTTTTTCTCAAGTCATATTAGAGTCTGAGATATGCCTTTCTTACAGCAATCCTGCACCCATAATGAAAGCTGCGTATTTAATATGAGATATAAAAGGTATTTCACAGAAAGTGCATCTGCTGGCATATCTGCAGCTATGGCTTCACAAACTTCTTTTTTTTTTTTCACTACGATCCTTATGCTGGATTCATTTATCTTGAAATGGTAGGAAACTGCAGCTGCTGACCTCAACCTGTGGTACACATGAAACAATTTAGTGTTTTCTTGTAATGTCATGACTTTTCTTTGCTTCTTGGGACCACTTCCAGCATCACTTTGTGTGGGTCCCATAGTGTTATTCAAGGTCTATGGTATTGCACTAAACACGAAAAATACTCAAGAAGCACAAGAGATCACTTTCTACAACAATGTGCAATTTACTGGAGACATGACTACTCAGGCAGAGATGTTTTAAGCAGATACTTGCAAAACTTGAGCTCCCTGCAGTAGCAACAGGAGGTGTAATCATATGAAATGATTACAGTAGGGCAGTGTGTACCACAGTTCATTTGATGCAGTTATGATTTAATACTGCATTTTAACATTTGGTTGCGTTTTCTATTGATTGTGAATGGCACCATCTACGGGCTGTAGTGTGTGTGTAAATTTTGATAAATTTAGCTTTTTATAATAGATTTTGATATATTTTATGGTAGTAAAT